GGATGCTGTCCCGAGAGCAAATGTTCACAGGATCAGAAACTGCCCCAGATCTACAGCGTGTGCGTGTCCCTGTGTCCTGAGCTCGGGGCACCGTGTGCGTGTCCCTGTGTCCTGAGCTCAGCCCTGCGGGTGCTGCCTGTGCGTGTGTACTCACACACGGCAAGGTGTGCTGGGGGCAGCTGCGTGGGGGCCTGTCCGTCCATGTGGAGGGCACGGTGGCAGGCCCAGGCTCAAGCTCTCACTCACACTCCCACTTTCCGTGTGACTAGTGGGGAGACTCGTAGCTCAGCCTGGGGCGTGGGGGCAGAGGAAGGGATGGCCAACAGGAGTGTGCCTCCGGGCACACACACCACTGGCCTCTGTCTCCTTGATGTGGGTCTTGCCCACAGTGTGGCACTTGCTGCCCCAGGTCCTGTTAGGCAAGCCCTAGAGAACCCTGTCCTCTTTAAATCCTAATTCATACTAATAGCGTTCCCTCTGTTTTGTCATTAGTAACCTAAAGACTAGCCCTGCCGACTCATGGCTGCTGGCCTGGGCAGCTTCTTCGTGCCCCGCCGAGTCGGGCTCTATGCTCGGGCCACAGTGGAACTCAAGGGGAGGCATGTTTGGAGAGAGCTGCTGCCTGCCCCCTGTGCACTGGGGGTCACGGGGCTCCCCCATGGAGGAGGTGCTACTTGAGCTGACCACACAAGTAGGGCTGATGTGGACTTGTGGGGTGGGTAAGGGCTGCCCAGGAAAGGGCAGTCCCTGCCCTGCGTCAGGCCTCCACCTGCTGTGGCAGTGGCATGGCGGGGCCATATCTGGAAGCCAGGTAGATAACCTGTCTCTATTCCCATGGCCTGGTGGGGCAATGAGCTGGTTCTCACTAGCCAGGCTGCCGACCAGCTTCCCATCTCCCAGGCTACAAGCACTGTGACCACCTGAGGGTGGGTGGCAGAGTTCAGCACCCACCTGGGCAGGAAGGCCTCTCAGCGAGGTGGACACCCCAGCTGAGCCCCCAGCTGCCAGCTGCAGGATGTGCAGAGGCCTGGAGCGGGGGGCTGAGGGAGTAACTAGGCCCCCAGGGAGGCTGAGGTGGGCCAGAAAGCCTACTCCGAGGCACCCAGCTCCCAGCTGGGCAGGCAGGGCTGAGGTGGACACAGCCGGTGGCCAGGGGCGCTCACCCAGCTGCCTACAAGCCAGATAAAGCTTTTGACCCCATTCTAAGCTCAGCAAGTCTGACTGAAGCTCATTGACTCAGCCCACGGCACACAGCTGCGCTTACAGAAGACGCGGCCAGGCAGAGTGTCCGCAGCTCCAAGCCGGGCTGCCCTTGACTATGGCCAGTAATAGATGATGCACTTGACCACGCCCAGGGGGAGAGGGTGGCAGGCTGAGGAGGAGCTGCAGGCCACCCCTGCCACTAGGGTGCCCCCCACTCCCCTTGCTCCCCTAGAGGACAGCCTAGCAGGCCATGTCGCCACTCCCTGGGGGGTCCAGTCCATCTCCCAGGCTCTGTTTGTCTTCAGATACTCGGCTCACTCTTTTCCCGGCCTCACCAAATTTGGTGTTTAACAATAATGCTCAAACCCGGAGTGGCAGTGCCCGGCTGAGCCGAGCGAGGGCTGTGGAGCCAGGGGTCTGGTGCGTGATCCCAGCCCCTGGCCAGCCATGGTGAGGGTGGATGCCCCATTCCTTCAGTGTCCTAGAGTCACAGCTTGGGGTGGTTTACCAGTTGTTAGAGAAATATGATGGAGGACTGTCACTGGTGGCTTGTGGTAGAGTCAGTTTGGGGACCCCTGGGTGGTCCTTTGGCCTCTCTGGGTGTTGGTCTCCGAGGTGGTGGGCCTCTCCGGGCTGCCTTGGGACACCCCAGGTGCCCCTGGGACCATGCCTCCAGCCTCAGTCGGAGCCAGCGCTCAGCAGGGCTGGGGGAGCCAGGCACAAGCTCTGTCCCTACCCCTGCCACGTCCCCTGCGGCAGCTCCCAGGGTGGCACCTGACCCCGTGGCCTGCCATCTTCAGCAGAGCTCGCAGTCCTTGAGTCCAGGCCCCCACAGGCAGGCTCGGGTTTATGCCTTTGGCCTTGTGCAATGAAACGGTGACTCCAAAGCTGGCCACCTGGAGGCCATGTCGTGAGGATCCTGCATGGATGGCAACTGCTGGGGCCCTGGAGGTGCCAGAGGGCAGGGGGCCGGGAGGCCCTGAGCAGCGCCAGGCGGGGCTGGCATCTGTCTTTGCCATCTGCAGGTGGGGAGGGTGTGCGTGTTGATCCCAGTGAACCGGGATGGACTGTCCTCGTCCACAAGGACTTGCTCTTCGCTTTTGGCCTCTGAGCTGCCACCCTCGTGCCCAAGGCCCCCAAACGTTTACTGAACAATAGAGCTTGTGCCTGGGATCCCCAGGGACCTGTCTCAGGTCAAAACTGGACAGTGCAGCCCAAGCCGACCCCCAAGGCACACATAGGTCAGAATTAGCCATAGGGGTTGCAGGGCCGGGAGTGGGATGCATCTGCAGGTCCAGGCCTGGGCTATGAGTAGAGGCAGCCTACCCAGCGGGCATAGCAAACACAACGGGCAGGGCCCGATAGAGAAGGCTGTGGGGCTGGGCCTGTGGTGGCACAGTAGGTAAAGCAGCTACTTGCAATAGCAGCGTCCCACATGTGTGCCAGTTAGTCCCAGCTGTCCCACTTATGTTCTAGCTCCCTGCCCATGAACCTGAGAAGGCAGCAGGGCATGGCCCCAGCACGCGGGCCCATCGCATGGAAGACCAGAACAGAGTTCCTGGCTCCTGGCTTTGGCCTGTGCCAGGGCCAGCTGTTGTGACCACTTGAGGAGTAAACTGGGAGATATAATCTTACGATCTCTATCTCTCCCTTCTCCCCTCCCCTCCCCTCGGTCTTCCTCTAACTGCCTTCCAAATAAAGCCAGCCCGGTGAGCAGCGGCCCCCAGCTTCTGCCAGTTCACCTGGTTCCTGGGGAGTGGGAGCTGCGGGGGAAGGGCCGTGCTGGCAGCACAGGTGGAGGTCTGTAACTCACTCACCAAACCAGCAGCCCTCTGAGCTGGCCCTGCTTGCCTAAGTTGGAGCAGCAGCAGGTCCCTAGGGACCAGTGGGATGGGGACCCCCAGGCTCCCTGCCCACACGGCGTGATTTCTAGGGCTGGTGCACTGGCCTCCCCGGAACGAAATCCCTCTCCGAGCACCGGCAAATGCTTTAATCTCTGCTCGGGCTCCCAGGAGGGCCCTGAGGGAGGCCAGGAGGAGGCCCTGGCACAGAGCAATTAAGCAGCTTACAGCCCTTCGGGGAGGCAGGGCAGGTGGGAGCAGGCTGGGCTGTCCCCAGAGGGCCGCAAGTTGACGTCAGCCGGGGAGCCCTGGAGCTCCAGCTTTGGACACGCACGGCGGCCACTTTCCTCACTCCGGCAAAGCAGATTTCCCCAGGAAACACGCTTCCTTCTGGCGCCACGGGCGTGACCTTGCTGCTGGCAAGCCCAGCAGGGAGCTGTGTGTGCTGGCGGCTCCCCTCGTGCCAAGCTTGTCACTTCTCTGGGTTGTCATAGTGGCCTCTCTCTGCCTGTCCCGCACCCTCGGCTCTGCCCACCACCAGGCAGACCACTGAGGGTCCCAGCTGGGTCTTCTGTGCCCTCCCTGACCAGACCGTAAGCGCTTGGGGGCACTGGAACCAGGTTGCGGGGGAAGCAAGGAGTTGGCCCCACTCTGCAGGCACTGGGGTCTCTCTGGCTGCCAGTTTGGCAGGTGCACTGCATCCTTCACACCCCAGCATGGCAGGGGTTGTGTCCATTGGCTGAGGCTCCACAATGCCAGCCACTCCCACAACCTGGAGTTCCACCCTGGCAGTCCACAAGGCTGCCAGACCTGGGACTGAAGTGGGCAAGGCTAGGGTGGGCTTTGCTCACACGTGTGTCGGACGGTCCCTTTCTGCAGGATAGCAGTTATAGCGGACAGGGAAGCCACCCGGAGGCAGCAGGACCTGCCTGCACTATTTGCATGTAAGGTGGTGTTCTGAGGTGCCCCAGGGCAGGAGCCTCATCTGGCCTGGATCCAGGTACCCGGCAAACATGGAGCTACTTTCCCCCACTGCTCACCCCAACCTCAAAGTTGAGGTGCTGAGCTGGAGGGCAGCCAAGCCATTGGCAGGCTCTTCTGGATGTGGGCCAGGGAGAGCCCCGCCCCCACTGGCCTCCTGTTGCTGCCCCAGGGCCTTTGCACCTGTTTCACACCCACCAGGGACACAGCTGACACCTGCTGTCCTGCTCAGGTGTCTGCTGGGAGGTCACCATCATTGCCAGGTCACCTCATCTCCTACCTGCCAAACCCAACTCAGCTCTTCCCCGACCGCTGTCCGGCGACCCTGCCCGCTCTCTGTCTTGTGTGTGCGGCCGCGTGGCTTGCTGGTGGTGGTGCAGTCACAGCCTCTTTCCCTCACGGCGGGCTCATCTTGTCGCCAGGGCCAACCCTGGCATCGGGGCAGTGGGTGGGTGGCCGTGTCTGGGTCATCTGTCCATCCTCGGTGGACACTTGGGCCCCTTTGAGGATATTTCTGCTGCCAAGGTGAGGTGCAGCTGTGGGCTAGGGCCCCTGTCTGCACTCCCTGAGCGCCATGGGCTCAGTGCCCCCTGGCCGTGTGCCGTGTGCATGCTGCCGCCAGCTGTCTCACTAAGCAGCCCCGTCTCGTGCTCCAGGGAGTCTGCCACTCTGTGCTCATGCCTGCTCACAGAGGGGTTAATGGAAGTCTGTGCTGGCGGTACAGCGGGGGGCCCTGTGCCGGGGAGTCCCGCTGGGAGCCCAGCAGACGCGGGCATTCGGGCATCCACGCTCTATGCCTCCTGGAATCTGCTTGCTGGCAGTTTCCATCCCCTGAGCTGTCTGTCTTTAACTGTCTCCTTTTGCCTTGAAAAGAGAAGGAAGTGACAGCTGAGCGGTGGGGGAGGACTCCACGGCCGGAACCTCCCTCTGGCGCCACGAAGCCCACAGCCGGCCTCTCCTGCTCCCATCCTGCAGGTGGCTCCGGACGGACCGATGCGAGCCAAACGATGACCAGTTGTGGCCAGCAGCCCCTCCACGTGCTCACTGTCCTCTTCTCACTGCTGGTTTCCACAGGTAAACATTCAGAGAACCCAGTGTGGAGGGGCAGCCTGGGGGGCATGGGTGCAGACATCCAACCCAGGGTTGTAGGGGCCGGCCAGTGTCGTCATCCCTGGGCAGTGAGGACCTGCTATGTACCCCACCATGCTCTCTTGCCCCGAGGAGCCTAGGGGATGCCCTGCTTGCTTGTCTCCTAAGGCCTTGTCATCTAGTGGAGGAGGGGCTGGGGCCAGGATGCTCCAAAATACAGAGGTGGGCATTGGGTGAGCCCTCCAGGCTGGCTCCCAACCCCCCGAGGAGACCCCTGTGCCCCTCCACCCCATTACCCTGGACAGCAAGGGGAGCTTGGCCCCCCAGCCAGGTGTTCCGTACCCTCCCTCTGCCTCCATGTCACCCCCTCTCTCTCCATCTTGTTCATCACTGCCTCTTGGTCCCTCCTCACCCCTGCAGGCAGTGACAACATCAGTCGGGCCTGGCGGTTTTGTCTGGTCACTCAGAGCGGCCAGCAAGGTTCTTCCTGTCTGGGGGTGGCCTCTGGCACCTCACTTCCCGTGGTGGACAGTCAGCCTTTATGTGCCAACCCTCCAAGCTCCTGTCTGCCAGGGAGTCCTGGAGCCTGGAGGCTGGCTGCCCTCACCTGCCACTCATCCAAGACACGCCTTGGAGCGCCACTGCTGGGCCATCAGTCAGAGGGAGAGGCTGTGGCGTCTGGGCAGCCCGGGCCAGGGCACTTCCGGTCTGGTCAGGGGAAGCAGCCGGGTGGCCTGGTCCCCTGTGCATGGCCGAGGCTGTGGGCTGAGGACTTCCCAGCCTCTACAGCCCCTGCCCTCTCCTGACGTGCCCTCTTCTGCACGCATGAGCCCCCCCCCCCAGACCTCCAGGCCCAGCTTAAAGGCCACCTCCTCCAGCCGCCCTTTCTCTGAGGGTCTCTCCCCTCCCTGAGTCATCCCCTTGGGCTGGGCTTTGCGACTCAGGCCCCAGCTGCCACAAGCTGTGCCTGGACATGTCCACAGTGCCCCTGGCAGTGCTGGCACCTACCTCTGCCCTCACGTTCAGCTGGCCAGGAGGTCCTGGAGGCCAGGGCATCCTAGGAGGGCTTCCCACTGGTGGTGAGTCTGGACCCAGAGTAGCCCTAGCAGCTGTGACTTGAGAAGAGCCCAGAGGGTATGAGTGGAGGGTCCCACCCTGGGAACTGCTGCTCAAAGCCTCGTATTCCCCTAAACTGTGGAGATCAAATGGGGTGAGGGGATGCAGCTGCGTGGGGAGCACTTGACCTCTGCACCCCCACAGGGCGTCCCCTGTCTCTCAGCAACATCAGGGATGAGAAGGGTGTGCGCCCTCCCCCAACTGCTGCTATCTGTCGGAGAGGGGGCGCTGGAGTCCCCAGGGACCACCCGAAGCAGCCTGGGCCCTGCGGCCCCGCCGGCTGGGACTCCCCCGGGCGGCTGGGCAGGCAGGGAGCTGTGTGGGCTGCTGCGTGATCACCACTGGCAGTCGCTGAAAGAGCTGTGGCCGAAGGGAGGGAGGTGTTGAGCCAGCTCAGCCCCTTTCAGCTCTACAAATGAGCTGCAGCGAGCCTGTTCCGGAGGGCGCTAATGAGGCCTTCCGCTGCCGCGGCCGCCGCAGGTTTATCCCATTGTTAGTCATGCTTGGGCTCCCACTACTATTCATGTCATTGCCATCCACCATGCAATGGCCCCGGCCTGGGTGGGAACTGGGTGGGTGGGCTGAGGCCTGGACAGCTCTGTGCCCTGGGGAGTGGAAACGGAGGCACCCGCACCACTAAGCCCCGCCCTGCTCCCAGAGGGGTGCCCTCAACGTTGACCCCTGGCAGACCTGGCTTCAAGTCCCGCTCTGCCATCATTTACCAGCTCAGGCAAGTCCCCAGAGGCCTCGGCAGCCCGTGCCTGTAAAGTGGGCTCCCCACGCCCATCTGCCAGAAGCATAGACGGGCGGTCGGTTCCCATGGGTTTCCTAGTTTGGGTGTCTGCTGCAGACCAAGCTGCCCTAGGGGACCCGTGAGGCTTGAGCTGCAGCACCCCCATCCTGAAGCCAGCGGGTGGGTGGCCTGAGTGGTCCTGAGGAGGCCTGCAAGGTGACAGGAGCCCTGGGGCCAGGGCGCTTCCCCGGGGAGGAGGAAGAGGGGGTCCGCTAAGCCAGAGGCTGGGTGGGGGAGGGGAGAGGGGGACAGGGCCCCCATACAGGGGTATAGGGTTCCCCTCGGCAAGCCCGGCACCCTGTCTTGCAGTCTTGTCCACGCACTTCCGCGTCTGTGAGCCCTACACGGACCACAAGGGCCGCTACCACTTCGGCTTCCACTGCCCCCGGCTCTCGGACAACAAAACCTTGGTCCTGTGCTGTCACCATAACAACACGGTCTTCAAGTACTGCTGCAACGAGACCGAATTCCAGGCGGTGATGCAGGCCAACCTCACGGCCGGCTCCGAGGGCTTCATGCACAAGTGAGTGCCCGGCCACCCGGGAGAAGAGGAGGGGGCAGCCTTGCTCTTCCCCTCTGAGAACTGGCACCCACTGCCCTGTCTGTGCAAGGCTTCAGGCACGGGGGACGCATGACCCATTGTTCCTCCTGTGGGTAGCACTTGGGGCTGTGGTCACCTGGGGAGTGTGACGAGGCACAGAGGCGCTCTTGGGCTCTGGCTGCGGCAGCTTCCTTAGCGGCAGCGGGGCTACACTGTCTAGTCTTATGCTCTACGCCTTCCGCGTTCACGTCAGACCAGGGAAGGCATGGCTGAGAGAGCGACCTTCCACCCGCTGCAGCGGCCAGAGCTGGGCTGGGCCGGAGCCGGGACCCTGGAACTGCACCCGGGCCTCCCACGTGGGTGGCAGGGACCTCCTCCCTTGGGTCATCCTCTGCCGTTCGCCCAGATAATCGTGCGTGATCGTCCCTGGTTCTCTTTCCCTATTTCTGTTCTGCCTCAGGTCTTGTCCTGCCCCGTAGCATCTCTAGCTGACAAAAGTTAAAAAAAGTTTGTCATCAGCCTGAGATTCCTTTTTCTTTTTCTTTTTTTAAATTTCTTTAAATTCATTTCTTTGAAAGGCAGAGAGGAAGTGGGTCAGTGCCCAAAGCCCCCAGCAGCCAGGGTGGGCCAGGTCCAAGCTGTGTCAGACCCCTCGAGCTCCCATGTGCTGCCTCCTGGGGTGCAGAGCCAGTAGCAGGGTGGGGGGCGGAGCTCAGACTCAGCTCTGTGACATGGGACACAGGGCGCCCACCGCCTGCCCAAGTCTCTGTCCCTCCTCACCCTCACAGGACCTCCTCAAGTCACCTCACTTTCTGAGGAAGAAGGAAGGTGCTGGGCAGGGCCAGGGGAGCCACAAGATGGGAACTGAATCAGGGCCAGAGCCAGTGGGGTCGGGATTGGCCACCCAGGAAGGCAGCTGAGAGGAGACCTGCACGTCACCCGTGTGACCTAGATCTCAGCTGTCACCTGTGGAAGCGGCTTTCTGAAGAGGCTCCTGGCGTCCCCCCGCTCAGGCACCTGTTGCAGATTGGCCCCGAGCTGGTGGCAGGGAGCGGGAGCACCCGGCGCCTTGGGCACTGCAGTGGCACATTTGCCGAGGAACCGCGGGGTGAGTTGCGGTTCTGGCCACCTGGTGGAGAGGCAGAAAGCAGCCTGGCCCGGCCACTGCCACACGGAATGCCCACTTCCAGCTGGCCAGGGAGCACTCTCTGCCTGGAGGCCCTTCCCACTTCCCACCTGGCCAAGCTCTTGCTTCTCCTGGGTTTGGATGCAGGGCCGATGCTGTGTCCCTGTGGGTCCTGGCTCGCTGTGGTTCTGCTGCCAAGCCACACTTCTGCAGAACCTGTAACAGCCTCCTGGGCTTGCTCATGCTAGCATGCGACTGACAGGCAGCCAAAGTTCCTTATTGAACGGGATGCCTGCTCTGCATTGGGGGGTCTCTGGACACAAGCCCCCTGCTGGGGTGGAGAGGCCAGCGGCCAACCCAGTTCTGAGATGTCCCGCAGAGGCCGCAGGCCAGGCTCTGGGGCTTGCACTTCCTTCCTGGCATTCTCTCCTGTGGGCCCATCACTTTTCCTCGGTGGTTCCCATGGCAGCAGCCTCTGGGGCCAAGGGAAGAGGAGGAGGAGAGGGACAGAAGGGGAAGTGGATGCCCTCAGCCACAGGAGTGCAAAGCTGGGGCCGGCACTCCCATCTCGTCTACTTCCACCCACGTTAGCAGCTGGGGGGTTAGCACTGGCAACAGTGCCCGCATTTCCCAGATAGACACTCGAGGGGCAGCAAAGTGCAGCAGCAAGCCCTACAAGTGCCCGGCCCTAGCCTGCATGGTCTGGGGTGCTCCCCCACCCGCCGCACCAGCCCAGCATCCACAGCTGGAGGGCGCTGCTGACCCCTCCCCCCGTCCAGGTCCTCCCCTCCCTGCCCCCATACACCTGCCAGACATGCTGCCACGCCCCAGCCCTGCTGTCACCCCTCCAGGAGGCCTTCCTTGCTGCCCCAAGTCAGGGACATCCCTCCCCAGGCCCCCAAACCGCTGGGGTGCCCAGGGTACCTCAGTGCAGCCAGCAGGGGGAACCTGTGCCAGTGCTGAGCACGCATGAGGAAGGGCACTGGGGCCAGCTCTGACGTCACTGACTTCAGCACTGGGATCTGAACTGGGTCCTCGTGACCTCAGGCTGAGCTGTATGGGGGACACGACAAAGTCACATCTTGTCCTGGCCTGCTTGCTCCCAGGGACGGGCCCCTTGTCCCTCCTCCAGGCATCCTGTGTGTGTCGCCATGCGTGCAGGCCTGCCGGCCTCTGCGGCCAGCTCAGGTGACCCTGTACCCACGCAGCTCAGCTCCAGAGGCAGGGCCCGCCTCGCGGTGTGTGTGCTGTGCTGTCACGGTGTTGTTAGGGGCAGCGTGTGGAAGGCTTCGTGGACGCCTTGGTCAGCGTGCACTGACCAGGGCTGTCCGTGTTTCCAGGCCATCAGTTCAACCCAACACCTCCCCTGCCCCTCTGAGGAGGAAGAATACCTCTGAGGACCCCGGGGTTCGGTCCCAGCTGGCAGACGCCCCTCAGCCGAGCTCTACTAGAGAGCAGGAGGACAGAGCCCCTCAGAGTTGGACAGCCTGGGACCAAGGCCTGGGCTCCCAGGTCAGGGCTGTGAACACTTAGCTCCCGGCTCGGCAGGGCCCTGCCTACGGCCTGGGGGAAGCTTGGACACGGTGGCATGCTGAGAGCCCCAAGCCCTGCAGCTCCGGGGTGGAGCACACGGGACAGGTGGCGAGCTGACAGCAGGCCAGCATGGGCCAAGGACACTGGGATCCCTGAGCAGGTGGCCATGGGTGGGCTGGCTGCCTCACTGCTGGCCACAGGGGCCACGGAGCTAGCCGGCTGCCCAGGGAGGGTGCAGAGCCCACATCCCCTGAGTATGCTCCTCACTTCCGCGCTGCTCTGGGCCCTGGCCATAGACGCCTTCTGACTTGTGGGACTCTCCAACCCAGGAGTCCTCCCCTGCACAGCCCTCAGCTGCTGCCCCAGCCTCGGAGGGGCCAGGGCTGGGACTGAGCCCTGCCTCAGGCATCCAGAGCTGGGAGCTGGGGCTGGACAAGGCCTCGCCGTCCTCTCCTGCGGGGCTCTCGGGGGCCACACAGTGGAGCTGGGCAAAGGCAACTGGCTCCTGTCCTGGCTGCAGAGAAGGTCTCGAGGGTCCTGCTGTACCCAAGGGAGGGACTGTGTGTGGACCGGAGTGAGGTGGCAGCTGGGGAGGGGACAGCACACCTTCCTGGCTCAGCCACACTCCATCACACAGATGCCAGCAGTGAGTGGGTCCCCTAGGCTCAGACCCTGGCCAGCCTCAGGGACCAGGCGTGGTCTGGGGCAACAGGGCCCTTGGAGCTGCCCAGGCAGACCCACCCCAGCTAGGGAGTAGGAGCAGGTGTCAGGAAGGCTTCCTGGAAGAAGTAGTTCGCAGTATAGCAGTGATGGAGTTAGGCATGGAGAGAGCCATGGTGTTCCTGGCAGAGGGTGCAGCCTGTGTGATGGCTGTGGGCTGGGAGCAGGTGCAGGGGGAGCCGGCTGAAGCTCAAATTCTTCTGAGCAACTTTGTGACCTGCAGGCAGGGCTCAAGGGGATGGGAAGGGTGTGAGTGGCAGGTGGGTGGTGGGAGGGGCCGAGCCAGTGCAGTGACGGCTGGAGGGACCACCGCCCGGCGGGCACAGGCCAAGGCCTGGAGGGGAACTGGGGAATGCTGCTGGTGAGCAGAAGGGAGCAGGGGTCAGGCCAGGCTGTCCTGTCACGCGGGGCCCGGGTGCCCAGCTTAGAACTCCCGTCGGTACTGAGCTGCCTGTGGCCTGTGCGCAGGGCCGGAGCCTGGGGCAGTGGGCTCTGGGGGGCACAGTCACCTCCCCTCTCCAGTGCCCCGGGCCACCCCCTCTGTCAGCCTGCTGCTCCCACAGCAACTCTGTCTCCCACAGCAACTACACGGCCCTGCTGGGAGTGTGGATCTACGGCTTTTTCGTGCTGATACTGCTGGTCCTGGACCTCTTGTATTACTCGGCCATGAACTACGACATCTGCAAGGTGTACCTGGCGCGCTGGGGCATCCACGGACCATGGATGAAGCAGGATCCCCGGCGGTGGGGGAATCCTGCCCGGGCCCCACAGCCCCAGCCTCCTCCGGGCCCCCTGCCGCAAGCCCCCCAGGCCGTGCCCACGCCGCGGGGAGACCCCCACAGCCCACCGCTGATGACCTCCCAGGGCTCGTCTGCCTGGTGAGTGATCGCCGTGGAGTTCCCCAGGCCCACTCGCGTCCCCCGCGGTCACTGCTGCCGCTTTGGGCTCGCCAGCCCTCTGGCTGCTGAAGTTACCGTTGGCTGGAAGGGTCTGAAGCTGTCTGTGCTAGCACACAGCTTGTGCCCAGGCGGGGGAATCAGGATGACAGGTGGGCGCAAGCTCCTTGCACTTCAGCCTGAAGCCTTGTCCTGGACATTAACGTGGGACTTTGGAGTTCCCTAGCTGCCAAGGGAAAAGGGGAAACTGGGTGGCTTTTTGAGTTGTTTCAAGTGGGCGGGTCAAAAGAAACCACTTAGTGCATCTGGACTGTCGATGTGCCAGTGCAGCGGCAGAAGATGAACGTGCTACTTGCTTCCTTACGTGAGAGAGAGAGAGAGAGGCCCTAGAGGTGACCCAGGCCGACTACTCAGGAAGTAAACGGCCTTGGGTTCCTGGGCTCGGGGCATGTGGTCATGGTGTGGGGGAATTGTGGCACAGAGCCATGGCTGCCTGCCGGCTCGACACAGCCACCACCACCACTTCTGCAAGCGTCTCAGGCCGCCCGGCTTGGGCTGCGCCACCAGCCCCTGGCATTGCCCGTGCCCTGGCTTCCTGCACCTTCCTGCTTGCCTCTTAGCTCTGAGGGCGAGAGGTGCCCCCTCCCGGGCTCGTCTAGCCAGGAGCAGGTGCGCGGGGGCCTTTGAGGCTGCGTCCCCGGCAGGGCCTGCGTGCCGGCTGATGGCCGTTTCAGTAGCTGGCAGGTGCTGACCTTCTCCGTAATGAGCGACTCAGATCGTTACTAAGATGCACTTAAACCGGCCGCGCTGATCGATCGAATCCTGGCCCCATCCATCACGCGGCAGACAAAGCCGCGGCCCTGCCGGGCTCTATTTGGCAAATGCCAACTTGAGCGGCAGCAATCTCGTGCTGGGCCCCAGGGAGGGCTGGGGAGGGGCTGCCCCAGCACACAGAGCTACAGGCAGCAATGTGTCTGCTGGCCCTGCCCCGTGGTCAGGTGTCCTGAGTTCTGGGGCCCTGGTCCGACTGACCCTGCCCCCTCCCCCGAGCTGCTGGCATCAGAGCTACAGGCATTGCCGCAGAAGAACCCGTGAGGGCCGAGCCCGTGAGGGCCGAGCCCGGCCCGCTTCCGCACCTGCCGTGCAACGGGGACAGGTCTTGCACACTCAATGAGGGGATGGTGGGTAAGCCCACAGGCCACTCACCTGTCCCCCAACCCCGAGTGGCTCCAGGGGCTCCAGGGCCTGCGTCATCAGCGTCTCCTCGTCCCAGAGGCCTCCGGGGTCTCCCTGGCCACAAAGCACTTTGCTTCCCTCCCTTCACCAGCAAGCACGTGGTGTGTACCAGCTCCGCACTGTCGGGGCGCAGAGCCGGGGGACCGGGCTGTGCAGGGGCAGCGGCTTGGCCCACCGGCCTGGCCCACCGGCCTGTGTCAGGGAGGAGAGCTGCACAGGCGGGGGGCTGCTTCTGACTCAGCACGGGGCCTGGGCGGCTCCCTCAGCCACGGGGCTGGCTACAGTGAGCCTGTGGGACGAGCTGCACAGCAAGGGGACACTCGGGTCACCCAGGGGCACGTGGCCCCTCTGCTGGCCGCCGCTGCTCTCATACGTGGCCGTCTGTCGGCTCGTGGCAGCCCACCCCGTGGCCTGTCTGCCCTCCTCAGGCCTGCCCTCTGTCACGGGGTGATCCCAGCTTCTCCCGACAGGCCACATCAGGTTCGCCAGTTCTGGGGAGATTGTGAGAACCTGGGCCGGCCCAGGGGAGACTGAGGCAGGAGGTCCTGCAACATCCAGGTGGGGTCGGTGGGGAAGGAGGGGAGCCGTGCCAGGGGGCTGGGCTGAACACTGGGCAGCCCCTGAGCCACACAGCACAGGGGCTGGGTGGGCGCAGGCCACGGCAGAGCTGAAGGCCCCGGGAGGGTGGGGGCTGGCATGAACCCAGCAGCCCAGGCCTCGTGTCTCCCAGGCGCACGCTCCATCATTCTCTGTCACCAGGAATCTGATTTCTCTGCCAGCTGGCGCACAGTTGCTCAGCCACACGGACGTGCTCTGAGACCCCTGCCCAGGCTCTCCCGGAGCCCAGTGGGGGTCTCCTCTGGGGGTCTCACTTGTGCTGCCTTTTCTGCCTTATCTAGTGACGAGTGAACTCAGCCTGGGAACTTCCCTGCCGATTTCCCAGTTCAGCCTCCCCGCTGCCCTGGACTCCCCTGAGCAGCAGCTGCAGGCGGGGAGCCCCGGGCTTGGGGTGCAGCCTGCAGTGTCCCATGCCCTGGCGACACGGTGCCATGGGTATCCTGAGTGCACGAAGGGCTGAGGTTTCCCTGCTGGGGTGGGGGCATGCTCAGCTCGCAGTGGGCAACCCCTCCTCAAGCCCACTGCCTGCTTTGCTTTGTCTCAGCACTTCCTGCCTGTCAGACGTGTGTGTCATGGGCCCTGGGGTGCCTGTCGCTGCTCAGAGCTAAAACCTGTGGCAGGACTGCATGTCTCTAGGGTTCAAGTCCTGGCACATGGTGGGTGCTGGGTGGGCCCCCTTGCGCAGGTGCAGGGGAGCCCAGATGCAGTGCCTGGCTGTGAACCCCAGCTCCGCCCCTCCTCCTTCCCCTTGCTGCCTGACCTCTGCATCTGCTGTCAGAGCCTCAGCTTGTTCATCTGTAAAGTGGGTTGGATTGTGGGCCTGGAGTAAGTGAGGAATCACATGCCCACCAGGGACTGCTCTCCCACCACCCCCACTCCTGTTCAGCTTGCACCCCCACAGGGCCTCCCTGCCCTGCACACCCACTGTCCCTCAAAGCCGCTCAGCATCCCTAAGATGTGCAGGTGGGTAGAGCTGGGAACTGGGGCTGGCCCTGAGCTCTGTGGACCCTGGGACTCCAGCCGAGAACTGCTCAGAGGAGCAGACGCAGCCAGAGAGGGTGGGCCATAGGCCCAGGGCCACCCAGGAAGTCGCTGGTCCTGAGCCAGGCTCCCCAGGCCCCACATGGGAGCTGATCCTTGTCTATTTCAAATCATTTTCCCTCCCACTCTCCCCGCTCCCCAGGCCTCCTGCCCTGGCGGGATGCCCCTCGCCCACTGCTCCTGCCCTGGCGGGATGCCCCTCACCCACTGCTCCTGCCCTGGCCGGATCCCTTCCTGATTCACATTGCCCTGACTGCATCTTCCTCTCCTGCCATACCCTGGCGAGCTCCTATTCACCCTTCAAAGCCTGCCCTGGGGCCAAGGCTCTGGGAGGCCACTGGGATGAAGGGGGAAGGAAGGATGAGGCAGCAGCTGGCAGGGAAAAGGAATCAACCTTTCACAGCTCAGGGGACAAGTCCAGGTGGACCTGGCGGGGATGTCCATGTGTCATGAACATTGGTGGGAGTTCAAACCCCCCGGGGTCTTGCTGAGTTTACAGATAGTGGAGGAGGTGGGCTTGGGGCTGTGCATTTATAATGCATGCCGGAGGGCTGCAAGTCAGGGCAGAGTGGCCACTAGCTAAAGGGGCATCCGCAGTGCGGGCGCTGTTACACTGGTACCACCCCACCCCCTCCCTCTATGATGGATGGGTGCCCAGGGGCCTGGCTCCGGGGACCCCTTCTGTCTGGCAGCCCCTGCATCCCAGCACAGCCCGATGCCACTCCTTCTCCCCCCAAAATCCCTCACCCCACCAAAGCACAGGCACCACTTTCTCCCAGCTCCACAGCCTTGGGGGCCAAGTCGTTGGGGTGTGGCCTCTGCCAGGAGGAGGCCAACCAGCGCCTAGGAAAATTCCAGAAAATGTGAAGACCAAAAAGGGAGAAGAGTGAGCTTCTGATTTCCTTGGCGTCTCATCAAGTCCCTGGGAGGCTCCGGGACTCCCACCCCAAGGACAGCCACTGCCCCAGGCGGGCTGGCCACCCTGCACCTGCCCCCCGCCCCAGGCTCCCGTCTACCACCCGCATTTGCTAGTTCCGCTTCTTGCCCGTACAGTTCCCTTCCTGTCCATTCACCGCTCCCCTCTAAGGGGGTGCTGATTCTCCAGGAGTGGGGAGACAGTGACAGAAAGGCCCGGAGCCATGGCCATACCTGCTGTGTGTCCTCGGATGACTTGCTGGCTCTCTCTCAGCCCGTCTGTCCCCCCGGCGAGCACACGGCACTCAGCCCGGTGCCCAGCCTGCAGACTCCCCAGGGTGGGAGAGCTCAGCCACAGTTGAGGCTCGCGGCTGCTCCCTCGATGGAGTTTAGGGGGCTGCTAGCCGTGGCTCCGCTGGAATCCACGACCCTGCCTCCACCCTCCCAGCTGGAGTGGACGGTGAGGGCGTGGTCAGCATGGTCCGCTGTTGCATTCCCAGTGGTCAGGCACGCACACCCTGCATTCCCACTTTACAGAGGAAAAACAGAGGCGCCAAGTACCAGGTCAGTGGCCAGCATTTGGATCTAGGCCTTCAAGCCCCAAGTCTCCAGCTGAGAGTCCACAAAGAGAAGGCAAGGCAGGTCACAGCCCCTCCCAGACCCCGCCCAGGCAAGGGGCAGCCAGGCGGGGGGGGGGGGGGGGGGGGAGGGGCAGCCAGGCAGGGGGGGGGAGGGGCAGCCGGGGGGGGGGGCAGCCAGGCAGGGACTGGGGAGAGGAGTGGATGTGGGTGGTAGAAGGGCCAGGCAGGTGGTGCCAAGTCCGACCTTGCCAGGTGCCGTCTGGTGAGAGACATGACAAGCCCAGGCTGGACAGTTGCTTTGCAGTGCAGCTTATGTACCCCAGCAAGTCACCTCCCAGGGCCGTGTGGACAACACCCCAGTGACCCCAAGCCCTCACCCCCCCATGGGCTCAGCCCCAGTGGGTGCCGGAGGAGGGAAGGGAAGCCAGCACTGCTTGGGGCTTCAGTGGAGACACGAGATGGCCGGAAGCAGGGAGAGGGCTGCCCTCTCCCTAGGCGAGACCCAAACCCTCCAGTCCTTGGCTGGCACGGGAGCTGAGCCCCAAGTCACTCCAGCTGTGCTGGCCTGAGCTCAGCCACGCCAGGGCCTAT